TTGAGAAACGTAGTATCATGTACTTCGGGCATGTTGTAGGAGAGACCAGTCCCTGGCGAAGGACAATACGCTTGATGAAGTAGAGAGGCAGCAAAAGAGAAGAAGACCCTCAACAAGATGGATTGACACAGTGGCTGCATCAGTAGGCTCAGGTAGCGGAACAGTGGTGAGGTGGCTTGTTTCCTTCTGGGCGCATCAGGTCGCTATGGGTCAGAACTGACTCCTTGGCATCAAACAAGAACTGCCAGGGAGGGAGTCCATGCTAGGAGCAGACAGCTTCATCTTTCTCCCATGGATGGGGAGTTTGAACTGCTGACTTTGCACCTGGCGATCCAATGCCTAATCCACACTGTGCCCTGGCTCCTGGAGGTTATCTACGTAGCCTCTCAAGGAAGAAAGGTGGAGACAGCACTTGCGCTGAAGGTGAATGCGAGAGTGCTCCTACCACAAATGGAACAGTGGAGTGTTAGAAAGAAAGGAGTTGATTTTGAAGACTGCTGATCCGGCCTTAACCTTTTTTGGTTTTTAAATAGACTTTATTGTATTTCTCCCCTTTTCTTCGTGGAGTCTACACATACAAAGAAAAACGTACTGGATGTATTTGCACAGCTCACTGCATCCAAACAATGGCAGTGAGCCACCCCTGTCTCTTCCCTTCAGTACTCCCTCCCCTGCCCCTCTCCTGGGCTCTTCAAAGTCTTTCCTTCGGGGGAACACCATGTTTCTTGTTTGTTCATTTTCCCCTGTAAGAATCCAAACCCCCTGTCATCGAGTTGATGCCCGCTCAGAGAGACCCTAGCGGACAAGGTGGAACTGCCCCCCTGGGAGTTTCCCAGACTCAGTCTTGGTGGCAGTGGAAAGTCCTCTCTCCCCAGGAGCAGCGGGTGACCTTGGGTTTAACAACCCAACTGGGAACCACCACCTCACCAGGGCTCCGCTGACAATCGTGTCATGAAATAAGCATTTTCATGAGATTCACTAGCTCTGCTGAGCATGTCTTCCAACGTGGTCCATGTCGTCAGGTGTTTGACAGCCTCCTTTAGAGCTGCATAATATTCCAATAATAGACTTTTTAAGAGCAGTGTGAATGGATTGAAAAGTTGGGTGCAAAGGATGGAAAGTTGACGTATAATTCCTCTTCTTCCTGCATACTCTTTCTGCGATCAACATCTTGTATTTGTGTGGTGTGTCGTCTTTATATGGATGAACTGATACCGGCGCATTATCCGTCACAAAAGTCCATCGTTTACATGAGGTTCACTCTGTGGTTTGTACATGCTTAGCCATTTTTACCGGAGCAGCCACACTAGGCATGGGACGTGGTTGGCTCCAAGATAGGGATTTTTCCTATTTGCACATGCAGTCTCTCCCCGTGGTCCCTGTGCCCAGAGAAAGACGCTACACACACCCTCAAGAGGAAAATTAGATTTAAAAATGTTAAGCAGCGTGCATTTGAGGAAGGAATAGAGTCCTATAGAAACTGGAAATATGCAACAGTGCAGTACACAAACATACACATCTATGGGGTCGCTTTCCCTTGGAAATGGTTCCTTCCAGGCCAGAATAAAATGGCCAGGGTTGGCTTGAAGAAAGGTGATGAAGGTTTTCTTTTTGTTTTTTTAGTGTTTCTACTTGTAAGTCAAGCAGTGCCGTTGGAGAATGTGAAGAACCGGGACTATTCTGCACGCGTGGCTGTGTATACAGTGAAATCTCTGCTTCGCGGGAGGTAGAGCAGCCCCCTTGCCTGGTGGTGAGAGACCAGCGGTCTCTACTTTTGTGTAGATTTGAGACCTGGCCTCCAAAAGAAATAGACCCAAATCAATGGTGTGGTTGGGTCCGGGGCTACTGAGCCTAATCTTTGGCTGCCTCTGTGTTATTCTGAGCTGTAATTTTCCATGTCATCTAAATTTGTAATAATTCTTTAATATGATAGAATTTCAACGAACAAACATTCTGCTTGCTGCATTTCTTCTGAATGAGTAATTCCCTGACAACGACCAGAACTTGGCAGCAGCATCCACGGTCATAAGTTATGCTCCGCTTTCAGTGTGGTGAGACGTATCCTGCGTAACACGGTGTCTTTGACTTCAGATGCTGATTTTCCTAAAGGAAATTTGGGGATGGAGAAGAAAAGGAAATGAAATACTCCAATGTAGGGAGTTGGACTAATACATTATTATAAAACGTTAAAAATATCTCCGCACCAGGGATGAGATCATTCCTTCGAAGCCAAAGATCATGTGCTGTTTCCCCTCGTTCATCTCGGTGCTGCTGGCACGGGGAGTTAAGCAGCTGCAGGCGTTCAATTTCGTGCACGAGTTAAGGTCTGTGAAATAAAAGCGTGGGCAAAGCGCAGGTGCCAGCTTGGGTTTCCTTTACAGACCACCTCCCTGACCGCTTTCACTATGGCTTTTCTTCTTCTTTTTGTGGAACATGTGCAGGCCCTTCCAAGTAGCCAGCAACGTGACTGAGCTCCCTCGCTGTTCATTAACCGGGCTTTGGACGGCCTCCAGGCTGGTCTGCTGCCTGAGCGCCACCGCTGCCAGCCAGCTCACGGGTGGTCATGGCAGCCTCGCTTAGCCAGCCCAGCCCTTTTTCCATCTGCCGCCGTGGACCAGGGCCGCAGAGGCCCCTCTTTCTCCAGAGCGAGGGCTAGGGAGTCGGGGAGAGGTGGGATGAGTCCGTTCTCTTCATTTAAAGAGTATATGTTCATTGCCTTTTGAAAAATTAGCTTTGCGGGGAGGGAGGGGGAAAAACAAGCTGACACCAGGGGCTCAAGTGGAAAGCGGGTGGCGTAAGAATGATGAAGTCAACATATGTACTAAAGTGCTGGACACAGATGACATATGTACACATTGTGATGAGTTGTATGAGCCCCTAATAAAATGATTATTTTTTTAAAAAAAGAAAAGAAAAATTAGCTTTGCTAAGCGGGCAACCAGCCACCATCTTATTCTTGGCAGGATCGAGGCAGGTACAGAGCAAAGCTTTTATGCTAGTGGTGTCATGGGGAACGCGTTGGGGTGCTAAAGCGCAGGGTCAGCCGTTCAAAACCACTGGCCACTGCACAAGAGGGAGAAGGCCGAAGCTTTTCAGCCCCTTGAAGCATTTCAGTCTCGGAACCCGCAGGCGCTGCTCTGCCCTGTCCAACAGGGACGCTGCGAGTCAGAACTGACTCCATGACAATGAGTTGGATTTTGCTTTTTATGAACCTGCTTATTGCAAGCAAGTCCCAGCCAGCACTTCTTCTCCACAATGTAATGTTTGCAAGCAAGTCACAACAAGGGCTGAAGGAGAGTTACGGCTGAACCATCCCCCAAGGGCCCTGGTGGCACTGTCGGGCCAGCAGCTGCTAGGCCTGCCGTTCTAAACCCACCTGCCACTCCAAGCAGAAAGATGGAGCGATCTGCACCTGACTTACACCCTCAGGACTCTATGCATGGTTGTCGTGAGTCTGCATGGGTTCAGTGCCAGTGAGGTGGGTCATGTTATGCACCATTGTTTAATCTCCTTTTATAGGCTACTGCCATTTCCTGTTCTCTTTAGACATTTTTGTTCATGGTTGGTGCTAATGGGGCTGGAAGCTTGGGAAATGGCTTCATTTTGGTGGCACAGTGGTCTCAAATTGGGCAAAACCAGCAGCCGTTCCACCAGAGGAAGACCAGGCTTTCTCTCGGGTTAAAGGTTACCATCTGAGAAACTCACAGGGCCAGTTAGTACTACTTCGACCTACAGGGTCGCTGGGAGTCCTCTTTTTTTGCCTTGTGTTTAGCAGATTTTAGGACAGTCGAGCTGATGCGTTCTGCAATAAGAGGAGAAACTCTGGTTGCTGTCAAGTAAATGCCTGCTCGTGGTGTGAAAGCAGAATGATACTCCATAGGGTTTTCCACAGCTGACTTTTCAGACCTTTCCTCTGAGGTCCTACTGGGATTCTCATGGTTGGCAGTTCTAAACCACCAGCACCTCCTTGGGTGAAAGACTGGCCTTTCTACTCCTGTCAAGAGAGGGGGTCACGGCGCGTCAGCATTGACTGGATGGCAGTGAGTTTGATTGGGGAGTGGAATGAAAGGAGCCCTGGCGGCACAGTTGGCTCCTCATGCTGAAATCGTTTCTCAGCTATATTTAGAGTGTGCCAAACAAAATATAAGGTGGCCTGGTGGGTTATGCACTGGGCTGCAAGGACAGCAGTTCAAAACCACCAGCCACTCCCCAGGACACATATGAGGTTTTCTACTCCTATAAAAAGCTAGTCTTGGAAACCCATAGGGGTAGTTCTACTCTGTTCCATCAGGTTTCTCTGAGTCAGAATTGCCTCGATGGTAATGAGTTTTCTTTTTTGAGAAACAAAATATACGAAGGAGCACCCCCCACCCCTCCAAAACGGAATTTTTTCCCCCAGTGTTATGTATTTAAATTTTTTTACAAAACAACCTATCACCTTCAAAGTACTCTGCATTACATTTAATACATTTGACAAATCTGCAATTCCTTTCTTGGAAACATTTTTCAAACTCCTCTGGATGGCTGACAGAACCTCCCCCCTTTTTTCTTCACCTCTTCTACATTTTTAAATCATTGTTCTCTCATGTTCCTATTCATTCTTGGAAACAAAAAGAAGTTGCATGGAGCGAGGTCAGGTGAGTAAGGTGTGTGGGGCAAGAGAGGCATGCTGTTTTTTTGCCAAAAGCTGGTGCACTCAGGTGGCTGCATGAGCAGGTGCATTGTCATGGTGGCAAATCCAGTCCCCCGTCTGCCACAAAACATGCTTTTTTTGTCACACCCTGTTACTCAATCTTTTCAGAACCAAATAGAAAGCTTGATTAACAGTCTGACCCAGTGAGCGGACTCCAAGTGCACTATCCTTCTCACATCCAAAACACAAGTGAGCATCGATTTTTGGGGGTCCCCCCTCATATATAGTTAAAAGTCATAGTTATCCCTTTTGACATTTATGAGATTTTTTTAAAAAAATGAATGTTTCTTCTTCCATTATTCTAAAGGTCTCTGGGGAACAAGACTCATGGAAGAAAGCAACACTAACCGAGAGAAGTACCTTAGAAGTGTTTTACGGGAACTGGTCACATACCTCCTTTTTCTCATCGTCTTGTGTATCTGTAAGTAAAATATTTCCTTCCTCTAGTGAAAATGTTTTGAGCTGTCAAAACTATATTGAAACGGAGGTGTGCATTCACCAAAAGGTCTACTCAAGTCTTCTCAACTCTGTTTTCAGTTCCACCTTGTAACCTGAGAAAGTTCTCTAAAATCGGGTAAACAGTAATTAATATTCACCGTTACATAACAGGTTGATCCACTGTGTCTTGTGATGTGGGGTTAAGGGGAAGAGGGAACCCCACAAAACATCACAGTTTCGGTAGGCGCAATTGTACAGCGATAATAAGTAGAGATTATAGTAAAGTCATAGAGAGCATGAGAGTTAAAGGATGGAGTCAAGTAATGGAGT